CTGCCTCCCAGCTACTGACGAGCCCCCTCCCAGAGACACTCACTGGACCTGGAGAGAGAGGCAGAGGGTGGTGATCAGGGCAAGGCTGGGCTGCCGTGGCCCTGTTTCTCCACAAGGACCAGTGAGCATCTTGTGACATTTTAAAAGCCATTTTCTAGAGGTCCCTCCTGCCCTGAGTGAGGCAGGAGGTTAATAAAGCCATTGTTTTCGGTCAGAACGAAACTAAGAAGTCAGTAAAGAAGCCTGGAGCTCAGTGGGCAGCGCCCTGAGCCATGGCCATGGGTCAGCCCCCGGGCCGGCCCACCTGGACCCACTGACTCACTCCCCATTGCAAGATGGGAGTTCTCATGGCCAAAAAATGTCACTGCCACACAGCTAGGACTCTGCCCAGCTCCCACTGCCAGACGTGTTGTTGTGCACATTTCAGAACTAAGCAGAAACAATTTAGAATAATAAAGCCTTTTAAACAGATGAGATGTTTCCGGTCGGAGGCCACAGGCCAGCCCCGAGCCTGTCATCTGCTTCAGGGCACAGGGCTGGGTACAGGGGAACAAATCAGGGGATGTGACTCAGCTCAGAGCAGCTGCCCAGGCCAGAAAATACCCACTCTCTTTTGAGTATTAGTGGACAGAGATTTTCAGAGTTTGACAATCCAAAATTAAGTGATTGCGCTTAATCATCCAGGCTGAGAAAATGGAAGCCTTTAGCTAAAACTTCCCTAAACCAGAGATGAGCCAGGAAACCAGAGATGGCAAGGAAAGCAGGGAGTGTAGCTGATCATGCCAGAACCCTCAGAGGGCCATGTCCCCCGAAATACTTGGGGCGAGCAGCAGCCTCACTCCCTTCAAGGGCTCACTGGGAGCTCGGCTCACAATTCAAGTTTATCCCATGGCCAAAGTAGGCACAGCCCACCCTCGGATGGGAAGAGCAGACCTTTGGATTAGATATTCAGCAGAGAGCTGGTAAAGCTGGGTCCCTGCCTCCTCTCCGAACACCAGTATCTGCTGCTGAAAGCCCACAGCTCCTCTACCAACTTTTTTTGTCATGTTCATTTCTAAATAACTCTACACATGACGTGTGCATCTGAAAGGCCCCTTTAGAGACGCGCCAGGTTGGCCAGTACCAGAGAGCTCAGGATGGTCAAATCATTCGTGGGCTTTGGGCATGGGAAGAAAGACCTGCTCATTTCTCTGAGGATTTTTTGAGGTTTGGGGTTTTTTCTTTAAGTACTCCATTTGGCAATTAACAGATTTGTAAAGACCTGGAACAGGTTTCTAAACGTTGCTGGTCCAGGGTGAGATCTGAGTGGAAGTAGGCAGGCAGATGGGGAGCTGAAAGGCACGCCCCACGTGATAATGATCCAGAATGGAGAGGGAACCGCCACATAGAGAAGACACCCCACAATCTGCTTCTTAATTAGCTCCTGGCTCGGAAAGGCCGAAAGACTCACTCACGCCCCGAGTCCCAGTCCCTCCCCACATCAGGCAGGAGCCAGCCACCTGCCTCAAGACCCAGTGTCCTGACCTTTGGCCACCACCATCCAGGGCTCAGACAGATAGGCAGGAAGACGCCGAGCAGATCTCAGAAGGAGGAGGGAGGAGGGGGCATCAGAGGATATGTTCATTGATTTTAGAGAGAGGAACAAACATCAATGTGAGAACCATCCATAAGCTGCGGCCCTTATGCGCCCCAACCAGGGATCAAACCCGAAATCTTCTGCTGTACGGACAATGTTCCAACCAACTGAGCCACGGGGCTGGGGCTATGTTTATTTCCTTACGAACATCTCAGATGACTGCGGAGTGTGGTCTGTGGCTCAGACTCTGAGCAGGACTCCTCATGCCTGCCATGAGCAGCCTGAGGCACTGGGGACACACAGGTGTCCTTGTCCCCAGGCCTCAGTTCGGTGACTGGCATGGTGTATGTGTGTGGGGGGGTTAGGGTTGTTCACTATTATCTATGGAACAAATGACTACTTTGCAGAGGGATCGGGTGGGCTGAGCGGGAAAAATCACTCAGAGGACAGTGGCTCCCAGATACCAATTCCACACATGGTCATTTTGAAAGGGCAATGAGAGGCAATTTCCCATCCTTTCCAGATGCATCTTCCCATGAATCATTCCGAGCATGGATGTGACATCCCTGGGTGCTCGCGCAGCACCTGGGTGCAATCTGAATTAAAGGCTGCAGCCACGACCAGCCAATGGGCCACCTCATTACCCTAACAAACTGCTGGCTGGGGAAGAAAGCTCCGAGAGGCAATTCAGAAAAACAGGTTTCATTCTGTGCTCCCAACTCACCTGCACACACTTTCTCTCCTACGCTATTCCTGACCGTGGCCCCAGATCTCACCTGAACAGGGAAAACTTGGGCCATGGAGTCAGACTTAGGTTCCATGTCAGTGTCCCTAATTGCTAGCTGTATATGCTTGTTCGAGCCTCAGCTTCCCTACCTATAAAATGGTAATAATAAACCCTGCCAGGAAAAGGGAGTTACTGCATGTTACACAAGTTGCACTGCCTGCCCGGCCCTCTGCAGGCACTCAATGTATGGACAAAAAAAAAGGCCTCTCTTTTTCTGTGCTGTGGCGTTCCTCAATTTATGAGAAGCACCTGGTAATTAAGCCCCAAGATTGTTAGCTACTCTGATTCAAACAGGCCCTCTGTTCAAATTGCAGGCGAGATTAGCTACCCTCAAGGCTACATTCTCGCCTCCCCCTCCTCCCAGCTGTTTTCACAACTCAGGGATAATTCCCACCAAGGAGTCTCTAGTTATCTAGTTAGCAGGCAGCCCCCCCCCCCCACGCCCCTTCCAAC